CTGCGAAGCGGAGCCAAGATTCCCGTTGTGGGGCTTGGTGTGTACCAGTCTGAACCTGGTGCCGAGACCTACAACGCTGTCGTCTCGGCTCTCAAGTTGGGATACCGCCACATCGACACTGCCCAGTTCTAACAGAACGAAGCCGATGTCGGTCGTGCCGTCAAGGACTCGGGTATCCCTCGTGAAGAGATCTTCGTGACCAGCAAGTTGTTCGTTCACAATTGGGGGTACGAAAAGGCTCTGGAGACCACGAAGGCCAGCAATGAGAAGCTCGGACTCGGTTACATTGATCTGTATCTGCTCCATGCCCCGGGTGACGTCGCTACGCGTGATGAGACCTGGCGTGCACTTGAAGAACTGCATGAACAGGGGATTCTGAAGGATATCGGTGTGTCCAACTTTGGTGAAGCTCATCTCGAGAAGTTGTTGAACACTGCCAAGGTGAAACCCGCGGTGAACCAGGTGGAACTGCATCCGTGGCTTATGCGTCCGACGTTGGTGAAGTACTGCAAGGAGCACGACATTCTGCTTGAGGCGTACTCGCCACTTGCCAAAGCTATCAAGCTTTCGGATCCGACGCTGGTTGAGATCGCCAACGAGGTGGGAGTAACCCCAGCTCAAGTGCTGGTGGCCTTCAGTCTGGCAAACGACTTTATCACGCTGCCGAAGTCCGTGAACCCCGATCGCCAGAAGGCCAATTTGGACGCCGTGGATGTCAAACTGACACCTACTCAGATCGCGAAACTTGCGGCACTGGACGAGTATCTGGTCACGGGGTGGGACCCGATCAAGGACCACGCCGTCTAAGTATTCCTGTAAGGTGATATCGAGGGCGGAACTGCTTGTTAAATGCAAACGCAAAGTGTCTTTTTCTTACCTCGTAGTCGTTCAATACAGTGTTTTTCGGCACCCTGAACATCAGTACCCCTGAGATTGGCTAGTCTTTATATGCTAGACGCATTGCATTGACATAGCCTACTACTAGTATTCTTCTAAATACTACAAGGACTACCTTCTAGAACGAAGCCTACGTTGGCCGTGGTCCAATGATTCTGCTACCTTCTTGGTCTGTGGTTCGAGGCAGGATAAAGTGTCAGAGCGACCTCACAAATACCCACACAGTGAAAAATTTCTTGTATCTCTCTCATATTCCAGATTACGAATAGACTTTCCGTCATTTTTTTCTGCGCAAGCAACCTGGTTTGTTGTAAAGCGTAATCTTATCCTTCCTCCCAGACTCATTTCTCGAATTTCCAGCTACGAAGCAAGACACCCACGCCTCCATTTCAGTCATGAGCGCCAAAATCCCCACCAAGAAGCTTCCCAGTGGAGCTGAAATCCCGGTCGTCGGATTGGGAGTGTACCAGTCGGAGCCTGGCCCCGAGACTTACAACGCTGTGCTTTCGGCGCTCAGGTTGGGCTACCGTCACATCGACACTGCCCAGTACTACGATAACGAGGCTGACGTAGGTCGTGCCATCAAGGACTCTGGCATTCCACAAGAGGAAATTTTCGTGACAAGCAAGCTTTCGATTTTCAACTGGGGGTACGAGAAGGCAATCGCGACGACGAAAGCTAGCAATGAGAAGCTCGGACTCGGATACATTGATCTATACCTGCTTCATGCTCCAGGTGACGCTGCTACACGCAATGAAAGTTGGCGTGCGCTTGAAGAACTGCATGAACAGGGGATTCTGAAGGATATCGGTGTGTCCAACTTTGGTGAAGCTCATCTCGAGAAGTTGTTGAACACTGTCAAGGTGAAACCCGCGGTGAACCAGGTGGAACTGCACCCGTGGCTTATGCGTCCGACGCTGGTGAGGTATTGCCAGGAGCACGACATTCTGCTTGAGGCGTACTCGCCGTTAACAAGGGCTCAGAAAATGGAGAATCCCACACTTGTTGAGATCTCGAAGGAGGCGGGTGCTACTCCTGCTCAAGTCCTTGTCGCCTTCAGCTTGGCCAATGGGTTTATCACTCTGCCCAAATCCGTTCACGAGGAGCGTCAGAAATCCAACCTCGAAGCTGCTGCGATCAAGCTGACGGATGCTCAGTTTGCCAAGCTTGCGGCGTTGGATGAGTACCTAGTTACCTGCTGGGATCCGATCAAGGATCACGCCGTGTAAGCAGGTTATGCTGAAGTGGACATTTCGATGGCGTTTGCATGGTAATAACGCGGTTGGCATCGAATGCCCTGCTGAGCACAGAAACTATAGAAGATTTCTTCAACCTAAGAAATTGATAAAAAAAAAA